TCCTTTCCAGTCTTGATGATTTCTGGCTCTGCGTTTGTGCTTTTCTCCCTTTCAACCTCGAAGGCTAGAAAGGCCGGGTGGTGGTTTTCTGGTTTTGTTTCTCTAAACCGCTTGCCATTCCCGATTTATGCCGAGGAAATAATTCGAGAGAGCCTGTGGGCTTAAGCCGGGTTTAATTCCCAGCTTAAAGAGAACTTTGAAAACAATTTTAAAGCACAACAAACAAACAAACATGTCTGTATGTGTGTGCGTTTTTCTCCCTCCATGGCTTAATCCACACGAATAATAATAATAATAATAATAATAATAATAATAATAATAATACAGTTTGAAACTGCTTGAACTGCCCTAGCTCAATGCTATGGAAACCTGGGATTTGTAATTTTGTGCGACTTTTACTCTTCTCTGTCCAGAGAGCTCTAGTGCCACAGCAAACCACAAATCCCACAGTTCCACAGCATGCAGCCATGATAGTTAAAGTGGTGGCAAACTGGATTATTTCTGCGGCGTGGATGCAGCCTCAGATACAGGCCCTTTTCTGGCAAGAGTGAACAATTGCATCTTTCAAAATCCTCCGATAAAAAATTTCCAGTAGCCAAAAAGCTACCAGTATCCTCCCCTTGACAGAAAAGGGAGGGACGTCCTTCTGCAAATCAGACCTTGCAAAAAACTCTACATCCCAAAGGGAATAGAAAGCTATTATACATACAGTTTATGTGTGTGTGTGTGTGTGTGTGTGTGTGTGTGTTTAAATTTGTTTTTAAGCTGGGTTTATCTTGTGAACCGCTTTGAGTCCCTTTTTTGGGAGAAAGGCAGCATGAAAATGAAATAAATAAGTGAATATGTATGTATATATATGTGTGTGTGTATATATATGTGTGTGTGTGTGTGTGTATATATGTGTGTGTGTATATATATATATATATATATATATATATACACACATATATATAAAACATAGGTGTGTATGTGTATAACTGTTATAAAAGTGTTATATATGCATATATTATGTATATGTCATCATTATGTGCATAACTGTTATATATGTGTGTATACGTGTGTATATATAAAACATTATATATATATATATATATATATATATATATATATATATATGTTTTTTAAAATCACCATGTACAGAGTTTATAACTGAAAACCCTTTAACTCCTACATTCGACAATAGTTTATCTCTTGCATCTTTTGTGTGTATTATTATTTTGTACACACACAAAAGGTGCAAGAGAGAAACTACTGTCAAATGTAGGAGTTAAAGGGTTTTCAGTTATAAACTCTGTACATGGTCATTTTAAACACACACACACACACACACACACACACATATATAATGCAAGGGATAAACTAGTGTCAAATGTAGGAATTAAAGGGTTTTCCGCTACAAACTCTATGCATGATGATTTTTAAAAACCAGGGGAGGGGGGTTGTTTTTCGGAGCCGAAAATAATAAAGGAGAAGCCCTTTTATTTAGTACTAAGGATAGTGTCCCTCAAACCAAACAAAATTTCGGGTGTTTTGACTGATCATTTACCCCATCGTTTTATCAAGTGGTCAAGATACTTCTTTGCCAAGCGGACTCCATTCATTTTTCGAACAAAGGAAGGGGGACACGTTGTTGCTGTTGCTGTTGCTGTTGCTGTTTGCCTTCGAGTCGTTCCTGACTTATGGCGATCCTAAGGCGACCCTATCATGGGGTCATTTTCTTGGCAAGTTTCTTCAGAGGAGTTTGCCTTTGACACCCACCTTCTGAGGCTGAGAAAGTGTGACTTGCTCAAGGTCACCTAGGGGGTTTCCGGGGCGAGTCAGGATTTAAATCCTGGTTTCCAGAGTCCTAGTCCAACACTCAAACCACCACACCATGGGGGCACTTTAGTCCCATTTTATAGATGGCAAACTGATGCCCTGGCAGGGGAGATAGGGACCCCATATACTGGAAGCTTGGGTGGGATTTAAAACAAGGTTTATTACTGCGCAGAAGGCGGTAGGTCGAGCTTTTCCTCCTGGTTTTTAAAAAATATCTGTGCAACATTTTGGAAGATGGGTCTGCTAAGACCACCTCTGAGTATTCCTTGCCTAAGAAAACCCCACGAAATTCATTGGGGCGCCATAAGACCATAGATACCAATTCCCTGAAGACAGAACCATTCAAAGCCTATAATTTGCAGAGAGAAAACCTCCTGATAGATAGATAAACTTTCTAAATATGTATAAGCAAGACTTCCTTCTCTATGCCATGACTCTTGGTGTTAAGTGTGGGCTCTCATCTCCTGAATGTTGCAAGAATCCATGAAAAGCCCGATCCTAAGTGTCCTTAATCTGCAATTCTTACTTAAGAGGACCATTGGATTTAATGGGATTTTCTTCGGAGTTATATATGGATAGGATCCCGCTGTTGCTGTTGCTGTTGTTGTTGTTGTTAACTGCCTTTGCATCTGTCTCGACCCATGGCGACCCTGTGGATGAGACATCTCCAAGACCCCCTGTCCTCCACTGCTCTGCTTAGGTCCTACAAATTCATACCCCTGACCTCCTTAATAGAGTCCATCCATTTAGCTTTCGTCTTCTTCTCTTTCTGCTGCCCTCCAGCTTTCCTAGCATTATTGCCCTTTCCAGTGAGTTGTGACTTCTCCAGATGTGGCCAAAGTAGGACAGCCTCAGTTTGATCATCTTGGCTTCCAGGGATATTTCAAGGCTTGATCTGTTCCAGGACTCATTTCTTTGTCTTCTTGACCATTCCTGGGATCCTCAGCACTCTTCTCCAGTCCCACATTATCTCAAATGCATTGATTTTCTTCCTATCCTCTTTCTTAACTGTCCAGATCTCACAGCCATACATGGTAATAGGGAATGTAGTGGCTTTTATGATTCCAACTTTTGTGCTCAGTTATATGGCTTTGCATTTTAGGATCTTTTCTAGTTCCTTCATAGCTGCCCTCTCCATTTTTAGGGGGGGTTGCAGACTGCCAGAAATAGTGCAAATTGAGTCCACTTTTAGGGTTAGGGTTAGTGCTAGGGAACTGTATTTTATTGTGGCACCAGAGCTCTCTGACAGAGAAGGTTCAATGTCTCAGGAAAAAAAATTCCCATGATTCCCTAGCACTAACCCTAACCCTAAAAGTGGACTCAATTTGCACTATTTTTGGCAGTCTGCAACCTTTATCAGTATTTGATCCCAGGCATAAGAACTTTTTTTGTTACTATTTCTATTTTCTCGTTGCCTTGGTTGAATTTGTGTTTCTCCCTGGTCATTATTTTTGCTTTCATTGGTCATTATTATTTTATTTCTCCCTGGTCATTATTTTTGTTTTCTTTATGTTCAATAGTAACCCTGCCTTTGCACTTTCTTCCTTGATCTTCCTCAGTACTTGCTCAAGATCTGTGATGTTTTCTGCTAGTAGTATGGTGTCGTCTGCATACCTAGTGGTTCCCAAACTTTGGTCCTCCATATACTTTGAACTTCAGTTCCCAGAAGCCACAGCCAGCTTGGCCAACAGTCAAGAAATCTGGGAGCTGAAGTCCAAA